TCCAAGGCTACGGCCTGCGCAAGTACATGTCCAACGCGGTCAACGCCGTCCAGATCATGGTGTTCCTCCTCATCATGCTCGTCTACGTGCCGTGCCAGCTCGGCTTCATTCCCGAGTCGGTCGTTGTGCGCGAGTACCAGCTCTGCATGTCTGGCACGATCTGCCTCGCCCTCTGGATCCTCTCTCTGCAGTACCTCGAGGTGCACCCGACCGCCGGGTACCTTCTTCCCATGATGCGCGGCCTCCTCCTCGACAGCGTCCGGTTCTCGATCCTCTACGGCGTCTTTCAAGGTTTCAACTGGATACGTTGCAATGTCCCCACTCATGTCGACTCTAGTCGGCTTGACGTGCGCGTACTACATTCTGCTGCAAGGCAGCGACGGCTACGAGTCGGTCCTGCACACGTTCATCACGGTGTACTTTGTGCTCTTTGGCCAGATCCAGACCGGCCCGATCGATGTACGGATTGATACATTGATACGACGTGGTCACGCAACCTAATGTAGGACCTCGCGTCGACGTCGCCCGTGCTCTCGATCTTCTCGAAGGGGCTTCTCATGTTCCACATGGCGATCGCGATCGTGCTCCTCCTCAACGTGCTCATCGCCATGATGAACAACACGCTCGTCGAGGGCCTCGAGAAGGCCAAGCTCGAGGCGCTGGCCAGCTACGCCAACTGCATCCTCCGCCTCGAACTCAGCCTCGACTCGCGCGAGCGCACCGAGATGATCTACGTCATCAAGCCCAAGTTCCTCCTCGCCAAAGGTACAGCTTGGTCGTCGAGCCGACGTGATTGTACGGTCAAGTAGAGAATGCAGTGCACCTCGATCGGTCGCTGCAGACCGGGCGTGGCAAGAGCGACGAAGCCAAGCCGCTTTTGGCGCTCAAGAAACCCAAGAAGATGGACGCACACGTGGGCATTTTGAACCCGGCGTTCCACGAAGTTGTGCTCAAGTCGGACTACAAGACTGGCTACGAGCAGAAGGGGTCAGCGACCGAGGATTTCCAGGTCGACATGCGCGCGTCCATCGCCGCGCTCAAGAAAGACCAAGCCGCACAGCTGCAGCAGGTCAAGAGCCAGCTCAGCGACATGGCGCGCGTCCTGCAAGAGCTCCAGACAGCCTCGTCCGTCGAGTCCGGGTCGTCCTCGATCCAAGACTAAAATCTCAATATCAATATCTGCACACCTCGCTCCTGAGACAGAGACTCGTCAGTATCCATCTGCGCTCGATGGATAGAAACGAGGACTGTTGCTCTGACGTGGAGGCAAGGGTCCATACACTGTTTATCGAGCCTTGCTTGGAGGTTGCCAGGTCGGATTTCCGGATAAGCACATCAATTCGTCCCTTCCAAAAAGATACCGCTGCTTATCCGGATATATTGTAAATCTAATCGCACGCAACTTCAACGATATGAGCGGCGTTGTGCCACGTCTGCACGCCCCGCAGCGAGACGACGCAGCTCTGTTTATATGTGCGTCAGTCCTTTCTAGAGATCTCTACCTTTGGTTGCTCAAACCAGTCCTCTCAACCCTTGTCGCCAAACTTCAACCTCGACAGTGCCGTATTCAGTATACAAAGCGTTTTAATGGCTCTTAAAGTGCGTGGAATTAGCTGCAGGGGGCCATGCACCGAAAACACCCAACCCAATTGCAAAGTTTGCCAGACGCTTGCCATGCGCGTCCTGTACTTGGACCCGATCACGTTCCCGCCGGCCGCGCTCGACGATGCGACGATGCTGCAGCTGCGACGCTACCTTCTCGGGTACGCCATGGCTTCTGCAAGACATGCACAAGCGGTCGTGTAGGTCGTCCATCGTGCCGATCAGCAGCTGCTTCTTCGTCGACGCCTTCACGCTGACGACCGAGCATGTGCGCCGGGAGCTTGCAACGTGCGTCAATCGCTGGGTCTTCCTCGACCCAAGCGGCGACAGCGTGACGGTCTCGGCGGTGCCAGGCGAGAGCGTCTTTGTCGACGGCAATATCCTGCGTACTGTCCATGCTGGCGACGACGTAGGTTGACGCCCTGTAGGTGACGGCGAGAAGCGTACACTGGTCCACGGCAGTCGCATCACGCTCGCAACCACCGCTTCCTTCGAGATTTCGTACGCTCTTCGTGCCTGTGCCATGCTCACGAGGCGCTAGGTACGACTTCTACGAGACTCCACGCGCCGCCACGCGCTCGCCGGTTGACAGCACGCGAGCCCGCTCTGGCATGATCCTGGATACGCGGGCAGGAGACGTCGACGTTGAGCCAAAAGAGGAGCCAGCGATCTCTGACGTGCCGACGCCGATGCCCGAGTCGCTTCAGCTGCTGGCACCGACGACATCGGCACAGGTCGAGGTCGTGACGCCAACGATCGCAGCCCCACAAGACGGTGCGGCACCAGCAGTGCCCAAATGCGTCGCCGCGCCAGCTACCGTGCGAGCCGTGCCACTGGCCAGGGACTCTTCGCACCTTCAAACGTCGGCGACCTTGGCGTTCCAGAACACGCGCTTGCCGGACCTGGCACCGGACGAGTTGCCAGACCATTTTGATGGTGGCAACGACCACGACCACGATGACCAACAAGACGCACCGGTGGCGCGCCGATCCCACCGCGGACTTGGCCCGTCCTATCCAGTGACAGCACGCGAGAGGCGCGTCCCACAGACGCTATCGGTGCCGAACCAGCGTCCGACCGTCGACGCACCGGCGCCACCACGCCGTCGACCAACGCAGAACGACCGATCGGTGACGTCGCGGACCCGATCGGTGGACCCTCCAACGTCACCACCACGTCGTCGCACGGCTCCGCGTTCAACGACGACCCGATCCGCGTCGACGTTGGAGCCTCCGACATCACCACCGGCACGCACGCGCCTACGCTTGGCTCGCCGGGCGTCGACGCCCGCGCCCAAGTCACCGCCGATCCCGTTCTTGTGCACCGAGAAACGCTGTCACAAAATCGCTACATTTGAAAACGCCGAGCGCAAATGGAAGTGCGACGCGCATCGCCCCCCATCCACCCCCAACACCCCCAAGCCACATACTTTCACAGTCCTCGAGTCGGTAATCGTCTAGCGAGGCTTTGAAGCTATCTATCTATCTATCTATCTATCTATCTATCTATCTATCTATCTATCTATCTATCGATTGGGAGGTCAGGAGGTGGATCGCAGAGGATGTCGTGCAAGCGTGTATATTATGGGTCTAGCAAAACATGTAGATGGACTTGGTGTCGCCGCCGACCGCGTCAT